CCTCCGTGCAGCAGAAGCGGCATTTTACATTTAAATCTATAACTTTTATAATATTCACTTTATTTAAACGAATGGACGTTCGGTAGATAGCTGGGGTCTGAGCGCACATTTCGTGGGAATACCGCTCAGATCCCAGTTAAAACAACCGAACGCCGCACGAAATACACTTTGCCATCTCGTTCGCCTAAAAGTACCGAACACCGATGGGGGACCACAATAACGAAAGACTGGAGCTCCCAAACGGCCTGGAAGTCCAGCGGTGTTCGCGCCGTCGAGTAGCCGTTTTCAGTTCCACGCGCTCGACGACCAAACACCGCTGGTGAGACAAAGGATCCAAGATGGCTGACCGCCGCATGGTCGGTAGCCGAAAGATGGCCACCTACGAAAGTCTCTAATGTGTGGGCTATTAGGGGGTAGCTCATTCGGTTCACGAACAGCCAGTAAGGTTGCTGTTCGTGAAACGAAACACATGAATGCTAGCGGCTTTCAGCTGCTAGCATACGAATTCTATGTAAACACACAGGAACACACAGTGTAGATCTAGGTTATACATGAAGTTACAGGGATTAGTACAGACAACCTTTTTATGCATATAGTCCAGAGTATTACAAGTGGCTAGGTTTGCCACAATGCTCCCCCAGAACCAAGCCGGCATACACAGTCTGATCCCAACGGATTGGCTTGGGGATGTCCGGAGGAGTGCCCACAGATCACTTTTCAAGTTCAGTTTGTCTAGATAACCTGTTGGCGTTCCCGTTTTGTTTCCCAGGGCGGTAATGGATTGTAAAGTCAAAAGCTGCAGCGCCAAACTCCAGCGCAGCAGCCTGGCATTGTCTCCAGCCACACGGTTTAGCCACACCAACGGGTTGTGATCTGTGAGCAGGGAAAAAGGTTGTCCATATTGATACGGCTGCAACTTTTTAAGGTCCCACACCACAGCCAGGCATTCTTTTTCAATGGCGGCGTAGCTCACTTCTCGTGGTAATAGTTTCCAGCTTAGATACGCTACGGGACTGTGGCAAAACTAGCCACTTAAGACTATTCATGTATTGCATGTGTAGATACCCTTGTTTTAGCTGTAAGAACCAAGCATAATACTGTATGTGGCTTTCAGGCGAACGAGGGCGTTCGTATGCTTGCAATGTGGAAAACCCAGCATTCCCTATGTAGTTTCACGAACAGTAGTGTTTTTTGTTTTTTATTGTTATCTGATATGTTAGGTATTTAAGCCTGTAATATTAATTTTATTGCTGCTATTTTGATTTTTATTTATTAAAAAAGTATTTTAAACTACTATTTGGTTTCTGAAATTTTATCCAGAAGGACTTGAAGCATCCTTTTTTTCTGGGGGACCATAACCACTGCGGCCACCTGTCATTTTGGGACTACTTACCTGCTATTATAGTAGAGAGCCGACTTATATGGCTCTCTAAATTGTGAGTTTTTCCTGTTATACATATATTTGAATATTTCCTCATATATGTTGCCCTATGAAGGTTCTGTTATATTTATTACAGATTGCTGAATAACTATCCATTGTGTGTGCCAACCTCTCTCTTGTTTTCCATATTTAATGTAAGTGTTTAAGGTGATATAACACTTGTGTGGTTTGAGACGCACTGGGATATACGTCACCCTCTTATAGCGCCATTTATACACCTCTTTGTTGTTGTTTTCCTGGTGTGGAGCCTGGGGTGTAAGAGCAGAGGTCATCCGGCCCAAGTCATTCTAGGGAACAACATCCGCAGGTAACTTCTGCATCAGGCCCACTTCTACCATCCCCTCCCCAGCACCCCAATTCAAATGGTAGTCGGTACACTGCTCCCCCTGCAACTCGTACCGCCACGGATCCGCCGGTGTGTGCTGAACCTGGCACCAAATAGGGGGCTACCAAAGTTAGGGTGGCTCCTGAATCCCGGAGCCCCTGCACTTCTTTCCCCTCCAGTGTCACCAGCTGGCGATGATGTTGTCGGTTGTCCGTGGCTTGAACCGACATTACTTCATGCAGTATTCCCAGGGGTTCTTCTGCCTGAGCGCTCAGTATCTCCTGGGTGGCTGGCTCTACTTGATAATGATGTGCGGCGACCCTGGGTCCCGTGTTCTGTCGGACTTGGTTCCATGCTTGTCAGCTCCGGTTCTGATTGCACTCCCGAGACATATGTCCCCACTGCCTGCAGGTATGGCATTGAATGTTAGCTCTGCCATTGTATCGTGAGGGTGGAGGTTGGTTCCCCTGGGTTGGTCTAAAGGGGGTTGACGTGGGAGCTGTAGGCGTAACTGCACTGTGTTGCACAGTGGGTCGAGGGTAATTCCTATTTAGGTGCCCGTGATGCCTCCTTGCATCAAAATGCTGGTCTGCTAATCGGGCCGCTTCAGTTAGGGTGCCTCCGGAGTAGTTTTCGGTCTCTCACCCATTCTTGTGCCTCTGGAGACAAGCCATTAAAGATTTGTTCCAATAGCATCAATTGCCGTAACTCCTCCATAGTGGTGGCTTGGCTGGCTTGTATCCACCCCTGTGATGCTTGATCCAGCTTGTGAGCCCATTCGGCATGAGAATCTTTCTCCGGTTTGCGCAGTCCTCTGAATTTGCGCCGGTATGCCTCCGGAGTAATGGCATACCTTTCTAATATGGCTCTTTTTACCTTAGTATAATCCTTGCTGTCCTCTCTGGGTACAGCGCGATAAGCTTCTGCTGCCCGACCTGACAGCTTGCCTTCCAGTAACGGTACCCACACTACCTGCTCCAAGTCATGTAAATCACACAGCCTCTCAAAATCTTGTAAATATCCGTCAATCTCATCCTTCTCCTCAGAAAACATTTTAAAGGCATGATATGGGATTTTGGGTTTTACCTAGCTGTATACGGCGGCAGTAATGGATTCTGCCCTGGATGGTGTCTCCTGCGGACTGTGTGCCATCACGTACTCCTGCACATCCGCCATCAGTACGGTCAATATCTCCAAGGGTACTGGCTGTGGTAGAAACTCCATCCTGGTTCTCATCTCCTTTTGGTATAGAGTTTCACCCATGGCTGGTGGGGGTGTAACGCTGTGGGCTCTGTCTCCCTCCATCAGCTCGGCGATCAGCACTGCTTTCGGCTTGTTGCTGGCTATCTTTCCCCTGGCTTCCAGCAGTTCCTTTAGTGTCTGCCTTTTTAATGCAGTGTAATCCGTCCCCATTCACTTTTCTCGTTCGGTTCTCTGCTGTATACGAATTGCCATTCCCTTTCTCGTTCGGTAGTTTCACTTTATCCGAACGGCGCGTTTCGGCTGTAAGGTTGGATCCCGTCGCTTGCCACCAATTGTAGCGGAGCGGCAATATTAAATTCCACGATCTCCGTTGGTAAAGAAGGTAATCCACAGTCAAGCGCTGAAAAGTAAGGCAATATCCCAAATCCCCGAGTAACCGGACGAAACACAGTTCTGGGAGTCAACTGAGGTTTTTATTCACAGCTCCAGTATTTATGCAAGTCCCCATGCAAGGGGTTTCCTTACTGACATAGCAGGGGTAATACAGTAGGGGGACTACATGAGGGACTTAACATTCTGGGCATTTCTCCCATCAGGCACTGCTGCACGAGAGGGATACTCCCACTGGAATACACCATTAAGTGGATTTTCCCTCCATGCAGCAGAACCGGCATTTTACATTTAAATCCATAACTTTTATAATATTCACTTTATTTAAACGAATGGACATTCGGTAGATAGCTGGAGTCTGAGCGCACATTTCTTGGGAATACCGCTCAGATCCAAGCTAAAACAACCGAACGCCGCACAAAATACTTTGCCATCTCGTTCGCCTAAAAGTACCGAACAGCGATGGGAGACCACAATAACGAAAGACCGGAGCTCCCGGACGGCCTGGAAGTCCAGCGGTGTTCACGCCGTCAAGTAGCCGTTTTCAGTTCCATGCGCTCGACGACCAAACACCGCTGGTGAGACAAAGGATCCAAGATGGCCAACCGCCGCGTGGTCGGTAGCCAAACGACGGCCACCTAGGAAAGTCTCTAATTACCGATTGCAACAATGTTAATAAGCGCCACATGTCCCTTTATGTGTGGGCTATTAGGGGGTAGCTCATTCGGTTCACGAACAGCCAGTAAGGTTGAGGTTGGTGAAACGAAACACAAGAATGCTAGCGGCTTTCGGCTGCTAGCATACGAATTCTATGTAAACACACAGGAACACACAGTGTAGATCTAGGTAATACATGAAGTTACAGGGATTAGTAAAGACAACCTTTTTATGCATATATTCCAGAGTATTACAAGTGGCTAGGTTTGTCTCTCTCTCTCTCTCTCTCTCTCAGCTCTTAGCTCTTTTTCCTCTATTCTCTAATCTCTATCCTCTATTCTCTATCCTCTATTCTCTAATCTCTATTCTCTTATCTCTATTCTCTAATCTCTATTCTCTAATCTCTATTCTCTCATCTCTATTCTCTCATCTCTATTCTCTCATCTCTATTCTCTCATCTCTATTCTCTCATCTCTATTCTCTCATCTCTATTCTCTCATCTCTATTCTCTCATCTCTATTCTCTCATCTCTATTCTCTCATCTCTATTCTCTCATCTCTATTCTCTCATCTCTATTCTCTCATCTCTATTCTCTCATCTCTAATCTCTCATCTCTAATCTCTCATCTCTATTCTCTCATCTCTATTCTCTCATCTCTATTCTCTCATCTCTATTCTCTCATCTCTCATCTCTCTTCTCTCATCTCT